CTTCGTTCCCCTTATGGGCTCAGAGAAACACTCTGTCCTTATGAATGAGGTGTCATTTGCCTCAGCTAGATGACTTACCCCAATAAAGCTCACTCTGCAAACCTTGCCTATTGTCCACCATAAATAGGACTTACTGTAACCCAATTGCTGAACTGTAATTTGCCTTTACAGCGCTCATTGGTATCAGAATAGGCCCATCAGCCTTTTTACTAAAAATGCTGTAAATTTGAACCTTATGGACATTCAGAGGAAGACAAATGTTTACAGTAATCCCCACGAAATACAATAAACCAGAGGAAGAAGAGACAGATGTATTATTTCTGCAAATATGAAAAATACCGCTTCAGTTAATTCCAGTCTACAGTTCCTATTGGTCTTTTCAGGGGAACGATCAGTTGCTTTGATTTTGTTATTGCACTTAGAGCATTTGATACAACAAAAACTGCAAATGTTCCAAGGGCTGTAAATATAATAATAAAATATTATTATATTTTCAACTTAGCATACACAACAAGCTAATCAAACAATAGCAACATTGTGGTCGAACCTACATTGAAACTTCAAGCTTCACTAAAATTATATTCTGGTTGTCACTGTGAAATAAAAATATAACTGCACAGTAGGATGTTAAGCAGTTTGACCATTTCTCAGGGTGACATGACAGCCCTGTGCTGAAACAGCCAAAAGCAACATTAAAGAGCTGCTCTATCAATGGATTCTATTATTGCTTTATAGAAACAAATGTGCTGGAAGAGCTCACTTTTTAAAGGCTCTGGGCTAGCCACATCATTTGAAGTTTAAGAAAATATCCCCTGAGCTCCATTATAAAACTAATTTGACTCATGCTTCAGACAACCATGGTTCTCTTCTTTGACAATGTAAAATTTATAGTAAAAAGCACTCTGGAGAATAATTAACGCAAATGCATGCTTTTTTACTGGAAATGGAAGCATATACATCATAAAGTCAAAATTATATTAGGCCTGTACTCCTAATGTTATTTTTTTTAAAAGAAGCAACATTCTTCTCATACTTTGCAGACATATGAGTGGGTGGAGGTCTGCTGAAATTAGAAGTGCTGAGGATTTTTGCATTTTCAGTTTTGTATGTATTATGACACTAGTGGAAAACACTAGCGTGGATGAAGTTTATACATAACTATTCCTAGATGATATATTATATATTCGGCATTATAGAACACCATAATCTTTCAATTGCAATGATAATAGTTGTTTGCTTCTAAGTTAAAATCTGTCACATGGGTTTTTGTGTCTTGACAGACGGCATGGTGGTGCCGTGGTTTGAAGATCTGTGGCCCCGGAATCACGCTCAGACCTGGGGCGCTATCTGCATGTCCGTTGCATGTTCTCCTCGTGTTCACATACCGTAGGTTTCTTCTGGATACTCCGGTTTCTCCCCACAGACCCAAGACATACTGGTAGGTAAACTGGCTTCTGGGAAAACTGACCCTGGTGTGTGTGTGTGTTTGCGTCTATGTCTGTGTCTATGGACTCGCACCAGGGCAGGCTTGCCAGGGCAGGCTCCGGCACCCCCAAGACCCTGAATTAGATGAAGAGGTTAGAGAATGGATGGATTTTTGTCTTTTTTCTCCGAACAGTCCTACAAACACTATACTTTGAAATGTATGGGTCTTAAACAAGCACTTCCAGTTTCAAGAGCCCTTATTGATCAACACGTCTTTATGGAGAGTGGAAGTTTCCTCATTCTATACTTTAAAGTCTGGCTATTATGTTGTTCACTGCTCAGATGATGTTGCTCCAGGCTGGACAGGATGAAGAATGGGTTGTAACAAGGTATAGCCAGCAACGTTACCTTGAAGGCCAGAATGCAGCCGATAAAGATGAGCACAATGAGGACCAGGCACATGGCGTTCATGGACATGATCTCCTCCTTGTATGGGAAGTTCCCTGGCTGTGAAAGGAGAAGACACAGAGCAACTGTCAATCCAAACTAGGAGTGGAGTCCCCCTGTGGAAGCCATAATGATGGTCTTTTTGATTGCCGAAAACACGCTGGACTCCTCAAGTAATGTCCTCTATGCACAGAGCTTGAGCATGATGTTGCAGGACCACTTCGAATTCCAGGCCTTTTCCACATAGCCTTCCCTTGTGATATCAAGAACACCACACTTTATGCTTACAATACCTGCTCTTCCTAGCAGCTAACCCACTGGGACAAACAGGTTCCACAGACCCTTGCCAAATACTGACTATCAAAAAACACAGTACCTTCTGACAAAGGACTTTTTTAATATATTGTTACAGCTGTAGGTGACTGCGGACGCACCTCAAATAATCTAGATAAAATGTGTAACATCTGGCATTGCAAACATTTCCAGCTCTCAAAGGGAGTCTGTGATCGAAGCGATCATAAAGTTTACCTTGGTTTAACTTAGTTAAGTAAGTTCTGGGGAAATTATTTAAGTGTCAATCATTAGTCCAGAAAGACACCGTATTAGAAGATAAAGGACAAGACATGAGAAGGAGGAGGTCTTGCCTTGGGCGTCTTCCTTTCCTGTGTTCTGGATCAACCAAAAAGACCCAATTGGAGCTAAGTATCTGAACCTTGCTAAGAGAGCCTGCTATTCTGTGGTTTTAGGGAACTGATTTCCTGAGTGAAGAATCCTGTCACGATCGTAAACCCCTCCTCTTAAGGACGCTCCAGCCCTTCCTTGTTTTATTCTTGATCACCTGTGCCTGCCTCCGGTTCCTGCCCCCATCCTATAAAAGCCAGACGTTCCTGCCTATCTGGGCTCAGCTTTGGAAGATGGACGCCCAGAAGCCCGGCTCCCCGCGAATCCAGGAGCAAATCGACGGCATAGGCTTCACAAGGGCATCCTGACCATCTGGGTCATACCCCCCTTTTATTCTCCTGGCCTTTCACCGGATCCCGCTCTGGCTTTTAACTACATTTGTCTTTGTCAGGATGGATCACCCGGTTTTGGACTTTGGCTTCACTCTGGACATTCTTATGGACTCCTTTGGACTTGTTTGCCTCGGACACACCCCCCGAACACCAGCGCAACTTGGGCACGCCCCCCGTTTTCCTTCCAGTCCCTATCCTAGCCTTTTTCCCCATGTTTTCTCACCCCTCTCTGGATTGTGCTGTCTGCATAGGGTCCTGAAAGACGCTTGGTGACAAATCCCTCTTTACAAAAGGGAGATAGGTTCACATCCATTTGGCGAATGGCAACCTATCTCCCCATGTAACTCCATGTTAACCACAGATTGCATTCTGCTTAGTGCCGAATGCAGCTTATCCCATCTTTTGGCCTCTGTAGGCGTCATTTAAGAGTCGAATTCTTGGAAGCAGTCTGAGGTCTTTCTGGATGGTTGGAACATGGCCACTGCAACACCTTATTTTTATTGTAATTTTTGAAAAGAGTGAAACTTGTGTGTTGTAGGTTTTTGTTGTGTGTAGTTTAGTTGTGTGTCATATATAAAATGTCTGTGACACACTAAACTACTTAACCCAGTGTGTCTGAATTATTACTCTTCTCACCAAAGCTGTGCCAGAGAAAAAGGAAGGCATGCACCTCTAATCATACCAACTGCTCAGGTATATTCTTGGCAAAAACCTTACAAATTGGGAGTTATGTTTCTTTGATTTACTTATTGATTTATCTGCTCGGTCATTTGCATTTTCGAAACTCCTAACTGGTAACAGAACTTTAAAGAGGAAACATCTGAAATAGATCCTTGTTAGAACTTGCTGATGTTTTCACTCAATGATTCTGATTACTATAGGAATTTACATGCATTTTATTCACAAAAACGATTTTATTTTCAAAAAGTGAAAGCCATACTTACCAGCTGCTGGAGGTAGTCCTGAATGGTGTTGGGATAAACAACAACACTAATTGCAACCAAGGTGTTAAGAGCAAAGTCGAAGATTTGATAGCAGAAGAATGGGATGATCCAAGCGGCATGTTGCTTTTGAGACAAGAGGAGAGAGTGTAAACGCTCATCAGCACAACAATCACCTTTGAGAAAGCCATCTTCTGTTCACGTCAGAGGCGAGCCTTCACAGAGCTGTTTTTCAGACACAGGGGTTCAGTAGTTTGGACGAACCTTAATTAAGGTGGAACAATGTGTTACAAATAGTGAGCTATATTGGGATTACTCACCTGGTTTAGAGAACAACACCCTATCTGTAAGAATGGGGGTATCTGAGCCCCCCTTTAATAAAGGACAAGCTAGGGAGCTGGACTGGAGGGAGGGATGTGAAAAGCAAACACACAATCGAGTAGTGAAGTAAGAAGAGGGATATTAATATGTAGGCAGCTGGACATGGGTGAGATTAGGGCTTGACCATCTCCTCAGCTCTTAAAAACAGTTGCATGAATCTCTTTGTCTGCTGTTAATCCACTGGATGGGATTTTCTTCACAAATAATAAAGTAACAAGTTCTAAAATACTCACAATTTCTACCCCAGAGTATTTGTTATATCAGGAAGATGTGGTAAGAAAACACTTCTTAATGCAAAAAACAACTTTGTGGAAAATCTATATTTTTAAATATTTTAAAATTGATGACAAATGTGAAACTTGTTTTTACTTTTCTAGTTCTTTTTCTTGTCTCATGAGTTGAATTACACCATCCATTATCAAAAACTCTCTTTTGTGGATAAAGATCACAGTAACCTGGAACCAATCCCTGAAGCACATGGTGCAAGGCAGAACTACAATCTGCATGGGGCTCAAATGCACTACAAGGCACACTCAAACGGCGTCAATTTTTTACATCAAGTAATCAATGCAGCATGTTTTTGAAAGGTGGGAGTAAATTAATACACAGCAAACATCGTCAGTGCAATATACTGGGCTAAACTGACCACTGTGAGAGGGTGGTAGGTTCAAACAAGATGGAGACTCTTCTTTGAACTGCATTCCCCAGAAGGCAAAGGGGAATGACCAGCATTCTCAGTCACCTGACCAACTAGTGGAAGACAATTAGTCATGTGACATTTAAAACCAGGAAGTTGAGGCTTCCAAGGGATCATAGACTCTGCTTTCTAGAAAGCCATCAGAACCTCTGTTATGCAATTCATAATAAGAGGGATAAGGGAGCACAGAAGGAAATGACCAACCAAGAAGGCCAGAGATATAAAACTGTGACTTTCTTTTGGTCTCGGAGAGAGACTTGTTTTATGGACCTGGATAATAGCTTAGCTGCCCAGCTGTATTTACTGAGAGAGACTGAAGAAGTCTAGTTAGGTTTGTTTTTTAAGTTGTTCCAAAAGTGTGATTAATGCCTGGTGGAGTGGAGTGTTTTCATGTGCAAAGGTCCTTGAGGCATGCGATCAGAAACACAGGTCTTAATTACCACTTAACCTCAACATGGCTAAAAATACAATTAAAATACCCCAGTAGATTCTATCAATGAGCACTGCAAGATGGAAAACTGGAACGTTTGAAATAAATGTAAACAGTTACCTTGTAAGCACCATATGTTGCCATTCCACATATTAATATCATGAGGAGGGAAATTGCAGTGGCAATGCAGATATCTGTAAGGAAATAAGACACTCCTAAAAATATGCAATTAAGTGCAATTACACACAGCTTCAAAGAGCAAACAAAAAGGACTTCAGTTCATTTAGTTTATTCCATAAATAGAGTCTGTTTTATTAATGCCCCTTGACTGATTTTTCAGTTCAGCTCGCTTGAATGAAAATTCACCATGTACAGTAACTGCACCCATGCCTTGGTTCAAATGACAATGACATTTTGAATCTTTCTTTTTTTGCTGCACTTGCCCAAGGTATGATTTTGAGCATCAGACAGGATCTGGCCAAAAAACTCTTTAATGACCTGACCATGCGTCATTCCCAAATGATGTCAGAGACCAAGACAAATCCAAACTGGGGGAAAAGATGGAGAGACTGTAGGCCTTTAATGTGAATAAGACACAAATTCTATCAGTGCAAAGCAGGCTGCTCTTCCCGCCAAGCAATAGGCTGACTGCTACTTTAAAACTCTTTTACGAATGGGAGATGCAGCTTCAGTGTCGATTGCAGGTTTATTTTTCCTTTCATTATGTCTTAAAGAATTCATGAGTGATGGAAGGGTCTGGCCGTCTCACACTAGAGGTTTCACCGGATCATAGCCTACCCTGAGATATGATCCACAGAGCTCCCCTCCGATTTTCTCTGCCAGTTGCTTTACCATTGGAAACCTGAACTCCCCGTTCCACCAGAATCTCTCTGGAGACACGTTTGACCGGTTCTGGCCGAGCCCGGTAACAAAGATGACTTCTGAGTTCCTGCTTCATCACCTAATTCAAAAGCCTCCTTTATTTTCTAAGTTTGGTAGTGTACTAAAACAATTCAAAGCACATGATCTTTAAAAAGAAGAATAATTCTCTCCTGCCTTACAATCACAGGCAGTTCTGGAGAGTAGTGAATGAATGTGTCAGAGGAAAAGTTTAGTAGTGGGAGAGTGTCATACTTGTTTCATACCGGCAGCAAAATTATAAGGAATGGGTAATACAAAATGGAGAATGCACACTCGTTTATTTTAAAGTTAGTGTGGCTCTCCTTACCTCAAGGTGTATCCATGTTTCCTATTTTTTTGCAAGTTTTCAAATGGTGTTACTTAGTTTTCAGTGTGGGCAGCTGTGCACAGCAGGTCTAAGCAGCTATCAGGTTTTCTGATAGGGTATTCAAATATTTGTACTTCTTAAGAAACAAATACAAGTATAATAATATAACTACAAATATAAGCATAAACACATTGAAGCTTTTATATTATAAAAATACCTATGAACGTTGAAAACATCTAAAATATCTGCAGGAAAGAAACAAATCTAGTTCCATGACTGATGGTATTTGGCAGACTTAACAGTTCCAAAACACATGTTCTTCTTTTAAAATGAAACAATTGTTAAAGTTATGTTAAAGTTATGCCGATTTCCTGAAAATTGCAATGTTTCATTATTTTTTTGCAAATAGGTGACACCAAATATTAGATATTGTGAAATTTTAACATTGCTTAGAGAACTAACACGCAACCATTATGCCTCCAAATAACCCAATAAAGGTTAAGACAGCAAACTAATTGTTTTTTCTGATCTTGCTTTGGCTTAACATTGTGAAATACGGTTAAACAAATGCAGGGGAACGGCCCCTTGAAAAGCCACAGAATTGAGCAGTCAAGCAAGTGACCTTGTTTATTATAATATGTTCTAACATTTTTGAAGTTATAAACTGATTAATGTGGCAGTTTATTTTAGAAGGGAAGGCTTATCTGAAACTCTGCCTTTGATAATGGGCAGATTCCTTTCCAATAATCACTTCAGTGCATTTCATTGAAAGGAGTAAACCCAAAATAACACTTATGGCCTAGACCATCAGATATTAATGATTTGAAAGGTCAGTTTCTGGAACTACCAATGTGCCATAATAAGAAGAAAGCACTGTGATAATTGTGTCCCATTGACTGAAAGAAAATTGGAATGCAGAAGTGACATCGTTAGGTCTTAACTGGCACTATAACAACCACGTGCTGATTCATTAAAATCGATTTATGCTCCAATTAAAAATCTTAACGACTAAGCAATATTCTGTGAGTTAAAAGGTAGCACAACACTTCTCCACCATTGAAGGAGTTTTTGAGTAGGGCATCAAACATATTTCCTAGCGGACATGGTGTCAATGTGAACATCGTATCAGTGAAAGTGAACAGCCCTGGTAGGAAGACTTGCAATATTGTATCAAGACTCCACATTCTACTAAATGCTGCCTGCATCCAATTTCCTGGCATCTTTTTTTTAAAATTGATTAAATTGTACATCAATCTCTGATCAATTCTTTCCTTAAGAAAAATAAATTAATGAACAAATCATCCATTCTTCCCTTATACTGTAACTATAGGGATAATATCCCTAGGAAATTATAAAACATAGGTAAATATAGGCAAAAGTTAGCAACTTTACTAAATACAATATATTGTAATAAAGTAACATTTTAACATCACATGCCTGGAGGTTTGATATTAAAACCAAACACTCTTGAATTTCAAAACCACATCTGTTACAGGTTTTTTCGTTTTTTCCTCTGCACTGTATAATCATCATGGCAGATGTGCTGTAAAACAGAACACACCCACGCTAGGATCCTCTGCATCTGGGGAAAATCCACACTGTACACTGTGTGCTTCCACAGCTCTCTCAAAACGAGTGCGCAGCTCTGCTGCACCCTTCGCAGGCTGGGGCCTTACGTCAGATAAGAGGAGCCAGCAGCAGACATCCATAAGCTGGTTAATCCTTGAGAATTAGGACAGGGCAGTCGGTTTTAATAGATGTCACCAGTGCCAGTGGCAGAAATGCAGTTTACAGACGACCAATTAAGTCAGAATTTTTTGGGATGAAGTGCTGTTTATTATTTTTATTTTAAAAAAGCACAAAGTAAATTATGCTCTTAAGGGGCCCAAGAGACAGTTACAGTTTCTTACAACTAAACCATTGACAATATAAAAAACAGATATGTAGCTGTACCTAGAGAATCTTAATCGCAGCATTCAATGCAGTTACATTATAGCATAAATGAAAAATGGGCAGACAATGGATTGGTCTGTATTCCTGAGGACGTTAATGGTTAATCTTTCATCAAGAATCCTGATTTTTGTATTTTTAACTGAATCAAGGGGTGTTCCTGTACAGCTCTCAAATTTCTAAATTGCAAGGGGTGCCAAACACTGTCAATTTCCCACTGCGTTTGAGCTACACAAGTGCACTTTCTCTTTACTGCCCAAATATTTTATGACCGTTAGTTCAGTTATTGTTATTATAATAATGGATTTTACTTGTTAGGGACCTCTCCAAACCCAAATACATCATACATTATGATAAAGAAAAAGGCAAAAAAAGTACAACCACAAGTATAAGAAAATAAATTAAACAAATATATACAGATTCAGACAGATACAATATAGTGCAGGGCAATCAGATATAGGCCCTAGTAAAAAGGTGAGTTTCAGGTTTAGATTCCAAGAAAGTCAGGAAAATTAGTCTGGTGTGAGTTAAAACTCTAGCTGCAGAGTTTTGGACATATTGAGAATAGTGTTAGGGAGACCATTGAGTAAAAGTACCAAGCAACCATACCAAGCAACACTGCAGAAAGAAGGCAGTCCTCCTTTTTTCCAAGGTTTTAACACACAAAACATCACTTGTCCTTACTTGCGTCATCCATGAAATCGAAGTCATTCCCCAGCTCAGCGCTGCTCAGGTGATACTGGTCTGGGTCGCTGAGGGCAGTAAGCAGAATGAGCAAGACCACCGCATTGATAATCTGCAGACAGAGAGCAAAACATCAGCAGCTGACAAGAAAGCTGCACACAGTTGCAGAATTATTGTGCTCAGTGCTGCACTTTTGCTGGATTGAATTATCAGCATAATCTTCCAGAGGCTACAAATGGATTGCTAGACATTGTCCTAATTCCATAACTCTTTATGAGTGTTTTAATCCTAAACTTGCTGTTCCAAAAGAGTTATTCTGACAAACCTGTGAGATTTCACAAGGACTGGGCCGTATATGTACAGAATCGACAATACTAATGAAGATAAAATGGCATCTAACAAAGATTACTTACATGAATATCTGTGTATAAATTCAATAACAACTTATCCAAACTGTTGTATTAATTTATCCGTTTATTTAGTTTCAAATCAGAACCACTATTCATTTCAGGAGGGAGTCACAAAATGAAGGCCTGACTCTCAGACTGACACAGAGTCAGAAAACTTTTTCAGTGGGCTGTCTGTGGCCACCATTAACAAGAAGCACAATCGTATCTACCCTTATGTGGGCTCAATACAAATATGACAGAGACATGGACACCCGTGCACAGAGGCTGTACTGTGTCAACACATTTGTATGCCTTTTCAGACACAAGGTATTTATAACATCCCTGAAAAAAACTCATTAGAGATAATAAGGAAATTTGCAAAACCATTATAGCTGCCTCATTATTATGTTCAAATAAATCACCGTGGATTTGAATCTCCCCTTGTTAGCCCTTGGATACATGACTGTAATGAAGAATTATAGCACCACTCAGACAGAAGGGGAACGTATTAAACTCCCAGGTCCTCAGTTAGTCAGACTGTCCTAGAAAGTAAAGGGCGCTGAAGCACAGAATTAAGGCTTATTGAAAGCACAGGCACGTCAGCGTCTCTTTGTCGATATCCTGAATTACAATCAGACCTACTCAAAATATTGTAGGAAAATATAACTTGAATCAGGGCCTCAACATGATTCCAGAGATTTATCTGCTTTGGACCAGAAAAACATATCCACAATTTATTTAATTGATATAGTTACATATGTACAGGCCATTATCATTCATCATTATGAAATCCATAATTTTTCCATGTTGTCTAGGAAGTTATTCTATGTACAACAAAGGATAGATGGAATTTAATTCCTCTTGACAAATGTGGGTTCTTCAATGGTCTAACAGACCTCCAATGACCTGCTTTGTCAATCTGTTCTTCACCTTTCACAAAACTGCCGCCACGATTTACCATTGATTTCAGTATCTGCAAAAGTTCCAGTTAACAAGGTTCCAATGTATTCAAAATTTAATTGCAGTGCACCATGTAAATTCCAATTTGATTAAGCTGATGTTCAGGAAAAAAAAAAGTGTCTTGGATTTCAAGGCACACTGCTTTACTGTTAAGGAACACTACTTCTCTGAGAATAGCCTTTCAAATGGCTCAGGAAAAATATTTTACTGCACTGTTTGGTAGGGATAAATAAAAAGAATAAATGAACAGGAACGCATATAACAAAATGGAACAACAGGTAAATTCAGATGTTAAAGAGATGCGCCCCTATCGCTCGTTCACAGCGAGTTAGTTAACCGCTGGAACTGCAATGAGGCTGACAAACAAGAACAAATTGGGAAACAAAGGAAGGTTAACAAGCCTCCAACACAATCGGCAGAAGACGACAGATGGACTGACTGCGGGGAAACGAAGAGAAAACCAACAGCCGGTCGCTGAAGTGCTGGACAGCTCCTCCGGGCAGACACGGCGAGCGCGTTTCCAAACGCCGGCTGAAAACTAACGCCGGTAATGGAAAATCCGCTATTGTCCTGTGGAACCGTATCCTGTACTCAGGAAATGAGATCGGATTACAGCATTACGACTCGATTTAATAGTTCCCTGCGAACGTTTAAACGGTGAGGTTGTGTGTATTTTCCTTTCACTGGAGTGAGTTAAAGGCAATAGGAGTTTGGAGATGAGGTTGGGATTAAACATGCGTCAACAAACCGATATGCAGTAGTTGAAGGCGGCCGGGGGAGGAAGTATCATCAACTCGGTTAATTATTAATTGCCAAAGTATCGCAGAATAGTTTAGGAAGGACACATGTCCATTTCAACGAAAAGCATTTTTGGCATCGACGCCTATGTCTGCAGTTACAATATCTGGTGAATGATCTAACGCATTTGTAAACGTATCATAGGTAATTCAACTTGCTCTTAGGCATACGAGTGTGTGATATGTCTGTGTAAAAATGCAATATTTCTTATTATTTATTTAAAATTGGGAATTTTGTTTTTTGACATAATTTTGTAAGATGCTTTGAGATCATCAGAGCGCACTATGGTCTTTAACTTTTGGAAGCCGTCGCAATAAAACACCACAAAGTTGCTCTCATTAACTGTTTAGCGCTCGCACTCCGGGGTTTTCGTCAGGACTTGATAGAATGCTGCAACAGAATGAACATGTACTTGAAATTTACTTTATATACACGTGTAACAGGGCTGTGACGGGCGTCGTGTGCAACTCGGTATCTCCTGCAAATCTCTACCCCCTCCGAAATGCGCACTCTCCTGGATGCTTCACGATAGAGGCGACTCTTGCTTTTGCTTGTTACGATATGGATAAAAAAAAGACGTTGTGTGTGTTTATATCGGTTTCTCGGTGTACTGAATTAACCTGATGTGCAAAACTTGAGCTGCCACCAACTGAACGAAAGCTTAAGTTATATCTACACAAGACAGGGGGACCCGAAAGCGGGCACACGAGCACACAAAGGCGATGTGCGTCTTTTTGCCTTCAGGTTTTGCATATAAATCCCCGATTTGGCGGCGCCTGCGCATTTCGGAGGGGGACACACATTTCCAGGGGATACCGAACTAGATGCGACACCGGTACTTTAAAAAATGTCTGCTGAAAAAGAAATTGATGGTACATATAGATGGATGCCTCTGGAGGAGATGTATTGCGTCTGCAAGTTCAGACTGAAGCAGTTTACAAGACAGGGTCAATATTAATGTGAATCGATACGACGTTTGATTTAGTTGATGTAGGATGCGGTGAGCCAGACCCGTTAATAATTAAATGATTGAATTGCTCTAAACGCTTTATTTTTACATGGTGGTAATACAATCTCAAGAGACTATGTGTGTGTGTGTAAGCACGTAATAGACATTAACCCCGTCTACACAGCGCGGATTCTAGAAAAAATTAACCTTAAAGGCAAAAACACCAAGTTCTTGGTACACGAGTCTCATTTAAAAAGTTACTTTACATGATCCACATATAAAAGTCTTCTTGACACATTTGATAAAAAAAACAAACAAAAAGAAAGTCCTTTAGAAAGTTCTGTACTGTTTTTGATTTTCATTTTTACATGTTTTTCATTTGTCATTGTTTGAGTTCAGGGACCCGGCTGTTTTCAGCGAGCAAGTTCGTGAGTGGAAATGTTTTGCAGTATCCGAGAAGGAACAATGCCAAGGGTTTATCTCAGTAAGAACTCTATTTATAAACGAGTGAGCGTCCGGTCATATTTAACCACAGCGTATGCTCATATACTTCAAGGAATGCCATGCATGTCTGTGAGGGAAAACAGAATCACAACGCACGAAATATACGACATTATAGCAATCTTTGAGGTCATATATATCTAAATAACCTTCTCTGCGGGTCAAAATCCATTACGCAAATTAAAAGCTAAAGAGAAGAGCGCATGTTCCAGACAGCACCCCTGGAAAATGACCAATTTGGGGTCTTGGCACAAATTTGGCCGAGTTGACATAATTGAAAATGTTACGAGACGTAATCAAATATGCTCTGCGCATGCAACTTTACGTTATCAGAAGAAGCTACAGAAGTATCGCACATTAAGATTTCATTTTGAGGGCTGATATCAAACGTACTTCGAACAACGGGCGCACAACGGATTTTCTCAATTGACAACGCGCAGTTTGCGTATTTGAAGCGAAAAAGTTGAAACAGTCCGTTTTCCCGTTAACGGCGAAGTCGCGTTTTCCACGTCGATATCTTTTGAGACACGGTGGCGTTTTCGGGAATAAAAAACTCAGAGAGGGGGGTTACTCACCAAGTACCAGATCCCGAGAATAATCGTGCCAGTCCGAACATGACAGCACAGGCAGCAGTTCGTGGAGTACCACCGGTCCAAAGGGGAAATCATGATGGAAGACCGGGCGTTGGAACGAACTATTTCATGTAAAAAAAAAAAATTTTTTTGGATTTTTTTTTTTAAAGAAATCGTATATGTAGAAAAACGTCAACGGCGGTTCTCCCACTTCAGCTGCAGGGCATGTATGCGGAGCTGTCCTCAATCCGTTTGATGTTTCCTGTGCGCAGTCCTCCTGGGCGCCGCAAGCTCCTCAGCAGTAATTGACAAACATCCCGGGACACGTGACCGCCGATTTAAACCGGGATCAGGGAGACGCGTAGCTCGTCACCGGGCAAGCCTAGGAATGACGACCGGAAATTCCTTTACCTGCACGGCTGTTTCTTCTACTTACACGCAGGGTAAACGTTCTGCATTGTGATGAGGGGTGTTTCGCCCAGCTAACAAACAAACAACACGTGTGACTTCTCGCCTAGGCGTTTAGCTTTCATAGGACCTGGTTGCATCTTTTGGCACAACACGGAGGGAGCTGTGAGCGGCGTGTGTGAGGTCTAAATCACACAAAACTTTAGGACACATAATTTAGGCCCCCTTTGTCTTCTAATTTTTGCTCCAGTTGAGTTCTTAATCACAGGCTGATTTATTTCCGTTCGTCTTTATCTCTCAATTTTCTTTGGGCTCTTGGAAAATCTGAATGAGATTTGTAATTGGCATCTGGGATCATTGGCCCTGGTGTGAGTTTTGTGCGTGTGTGTCTGCCCTGCAATGGACTGGTGTCCCATCCAGGGTGTACCCTTCCGTGCGCCCATTGCTTGCTGGGATAGGCTCCCCCGCAACCCTGGGTTGGATAAAGATCACATGGATATCTGGATGGATTAGTTAGAAGGCTGAGGAGAGACTACATAAAGTTCTGCGTGCAGAAGCGTTTGGAAATCACACACTTGAGCATGAGCATTTTTGAAACCGAGGACTGAGCGCAGAAAAAAAAAGAAACAGAATCAGCGAGCAGGTCAGTTATTGGCATCACCGATACTGGTGATTGACGGCTAAGCTGGAACAAAAACCAGCACAGGGGAATCCCAAGTAAGCAGAAATGAGAATCACTGATTGAAGTGAGAAAAAGAAACCTCCCCCAGATCCCATCGTGATTTCCTGACTTCAGAAATAGGCCAGAACTATTTCCGTGCACTGTTCAAACCTGCAGTTATCATGCGCATCATCAAATGGAGTGGAAGCTCATGCACTGTGTGGCTATAAACTGTTCTGTGCAGTAATTGCTCACGGGCAAATTACAGGCAGCTGCCCTGGAAGAGTGCAGAAGCACTGCGTTCGCCCATTTCACAGCTCAGTGCAGTCTGCAGAAAGAGTAGATCTCATTTTTACAGTTCTTTCCCCCCACAGAAATAAGGGATCTACATGTCAACCATCATTTGAAATATGATCCCGCAACTGGTAAAATTATGGATAGAAACAACTATATCAAACTTTTGCTAGAGATCAAGAGCATTTTTTTATATATAACATGCCATCTGCTGAATGGCTGATGGTTGATCATTTTTACTGCGAAAAACATCAGGTTGTTTATAAGTCATTAGGTTATAATGAAAGCAAAAAGACCCATTTCAATCAAGCAAAGCTCAACATTGTGAACAAGTTCCTGTGTCAACGTATGATTGTCACTAAGCACCTGACACACAAAATACAAAGAAAGTGACTGAGCCTCAACCGTTGGCTCATGTTTATTCTGAGTTGGGCCAGGTCTTCAGAGAAAGCTTCCCGACATTGGACAGAAATGACCGTGAAAAAATGATCCCAGGGTTCTCGGGTAGCTCAGCTAGTACAGGCACTTGCCCGAGCACAGGTTCGGCTGTGATCCAGGCGTTGTGGGTTCGAGTCTGGGCTGCAGCACTAGCCGACTGCGACTGGAAATCCCCCCCTGTGTCTCCCCAACCCCCACTATGGGGGTCTTATGCCCACAGCTGAAATTCCACTGGTGCACAGAGCAGTGATTCCCCCATTTCCAGGCAACCACCTGCTCAGCCTGGTACTCCACCACTTAGCACTGTAACAAGAGTGGAATTGGGGATCAATACTACCTGAATGAAACTTATCTAGCACTTGCCTGGTTCACCAGTGGTTATTCGAGTCTCGCGAAAGATGCTACCCCTCATTCTAACGCAGAGTTCCCCTCATGCCTTTGTGAGTGCCGCAGTCTCGGTGGTGGTTTTCTCCCTTGGTCTCTTGTTTTGTTCTTCAGACCTGGTTTTGGCTTGACCCTTGTTCCCGATTGCTTCTGGGTGCCAACAATGCGAGAAAGGGAATCCAACAAAATAGCAATGCGTCAGAAACTGGTGTCACCTTTTTGGCTTAAAAGACAGGAACCCTTGTGAAGGATCGGTTTCAGAAAAGCAGTGTCCCGCCCCCCGAGGAAGATCTGGGTTCATTTCCGAGTGCACTGTGACGGTCAATGTGAGGGACCTAGTGGGAGCAGGATGTACATGCTCTGCTAGCCCCTCCCATTGTAAATATTAGCCTGAAGACAGTTTTGTCTGCTCTTTTACTCAATAAGCCTCTTGTAAGCGTGTGTTGCATCTGTCTTCATTATTACCTGACTGGTGGGGGTGCAAGATTGGACTTTTACCAACAGTTTGTACCCAGGCTGGCAGCAATATTAATGAAATGTTTAACTGGGCAACGATGCCAACCACAGCGCCACTGTACTGCCTCACAGCACTGGGGCCCCGTGCAGAGCTGGTATGGTCTCCCCATGTTCATGTGGATTTCAATTTCACGTTGGTCCCCCAGTTTCCTCCCACACGTCTGGCAACGTCGACCCTGGTGTGAGTGTGTGCCCTGCTATTGACTGGAGACCTGTCCAGGACAGGATCCAGCTCCCCTGTAGCCCCGAACTGGATGAAGCAGTTAGAAAAGGGATGGCTAAATGTTTAACCACTAAAACCCCCTACAACAACACGCATTCACAGAATTGCAGCAAGTGCCAAAGCAAATTATTTACATTTCTTATTAATACTAAATGTGCATTGTGTAGATAAATATGATCAGGTTTAACATTTTTCTTGCTATGGGACTTTCAAAAACATTTTGAATAAATGCTTGAGCTCAGATACAGGCTCATACCGCAATTCAGAGATCCTTTTCGGGGTCAACTTTCTGCACAAATGTTATATTTGCACAGTTAACAATTCACAAATTAATACACCGAGACCTGTGAAGACGATAACATTAAACACCGTGCAGATATGAAGTTTATCAATTTATTTAAACAAATCAACTTAGAAATGTCATTGCATTTAACAAACGCTTGAAACACGTAAACATACTTGTTTTCCATGATCTGGGAACAGGTAGAAACACATCTGCTTAAATTTAGTCATCATTATTGGTTAGGAAAACAACAGAATGATATCATTAATAAGGCAGGTTTTCTGCAGCTATACCAGTATTTTTCCACTGCTATACACTGTGACAAATATGCATAAAGGTAGTTACCAGACAGTGCCACAGGTCAGTACCGTATAGCGACACACCATCCTTTCTCGTTCTCTTCAAAGCGTCAGAAACAAAACCATCCCGGAGCTTTGTTTCGGTGACAGCCGTAACCTTAGGTTGGCATTGGCATATGTGGTCCTTTTCAAAAGCTAGTAAGTTTGGTAAAGGCTATTTACAGTGTACATGTCACAGCATGAACTAGTATTAAAAAAAAATGAAAAGAAAACCTGCCAATCTAAATTTGTATATCACACAGTGTCCATCAATGGCAATCAGGTCCAAAAACACATTTTGTTTTAAAAAATACAGTTTAGGATTAGACCACCCCCCCCCCCCACCTCAGCCCTGAAAAGACCTGATGAAACAAAAATCCTACTTGCAGTGAACAGATCTAAAGGTACATCCTACATACTACAGCTTAAGGCAATAGAATTTCATTCCTGATACTGTTAAAGCTGTCCCTAAAGACCTCCTTCCTGTCTGCCTATGTTACATCACATATTGCACTCGATATGTTGCTTCCTTCAAGCAGTAAAAAAAAAAGGGAATGAAAGACATACATTCTAGAATATTCTTCTAAGAATAAGAATAAAAACACTTGAAGGTACATTAACCTGCAGCACAGCGCACTCACAGTAATCTCAATTTGTAGAAAAGGCCTATATTACTTTACAAATGGCTTGGCTTTTTCTATGGCAAAGAGGTTACAAGAAAAAGAAAACTGAAGACAATATAATGGTAGCATCAGAAATGTTAACATTAAGAGGTTGGGGCACGATGCAGTACAGTATGGAAAATAGGCAGAAAAACACACTAATCAAATATCTTAGTGTAATACACTAAGAAACATCCCCAGAAAGAGATATTCCTTAATCGCAGGCATTGATTAGAATTAGCCAGCTACATGCTGGATACACATTTCTTTGCCTTCTATTTCCTAAGTGAGGAACTTCACATTTTGACTGCTTTTATGTCCGAGTTGCTTGACTAGAACTTATCGCCTTATCATGTGCAATATGTGAAGTGTAAAAAAAAAAAGGGTAGGCCTATGGTAGCAACTTGAGGATTTGTTCTCCTTTGTAGTCTTTATTTCACTGCAAATACTAGTCGTACAATAACGTAATTTTTTAGGGTTAATGGACGTACATCACCCAAAACTATTTTAATGTAAATTAAAAAAAAAAATTGACCTTGTGCCCAACCAGATATCATTTTTAATGGTTTACACCTCCTGGAAATCCTCACCTGCAGCATTGCTTGCAGCACACAGATGTTAGATGCAATTCATGAGTCCTGGTTGGCTCAGGACAAAGCTGGTCAGGACTACAGTTCAATTCTGAATGTTATAAAAGTACAGTCAAAATTTGTAGAAAATTCTGTACACTTTCAAATTATTGCATAAACATGAATTTCTTCAAAATCATTTTGCATATTATTCATCTCTACTCAGGTTCCAACTCATGTTTCCCGTCTCGCCTTCTTCTTCTTCTTGACTTGCTTTGGTGACTCCCAGTTCTCTTCCGTTTTTTCTGAAAGGAAACCGGGAGAAGTGTTAAGATAGAAGATCAGCAGCACTATTGTCGACCATCTTAATGTGGCCAATTACTGTCCCCTGTGTGATCGGTTTGACAGACAGCTTTGCTTTAAAAGCATAAAAGCTGTTTCAGAAACAAGTAAAGCAATTTGAAAAGTACTGCCTTTCACTAGAACTGAAATTACTTACTCAACAAGATGCTTTTTGCTACTATGCATCATTTCTGTAAATACCAGAAAACACTATTTGACAATGCAAATTAAATCTGCCATTATAAAGATATTACTCAAAAAAAGGAAAATCAACATCATAACTTTCCCTAGTTTTTATGACCAATGATGTGCTAAATTAAAAAAAAAATGTAAAATACACAAACTGTACTCTTATGGTCCTCTTATTGAGCACAGAATTGAGTCGTTAATCCTGTGAATCCCAAACAGATACAACTGCCTGCTTTCCTCTTCTGTAAAATAAATCACTGCCCTACTGTACATCTTAAGTCATGAGTTACAGGTGTGTGTAATATAAATCCAAAAATGCCAACATCGCTTTTTAAGAAGCAACTTGCAACAAATATTAATGAAAGACATTGAAGAAATTTCTCTTTGAGAAACTGTTTTCATTTCACATCCTTTAATAACACTATTTATTATAATTTAATATGTACCCTGTGAGATGCATCCTAACCTCTTATGAATACATGGCTATCTGTAGAGCAAGCAAATATTTTTGCTTAAATATTTAAAATATTATTTGAAAGGCTTCTAAGATACCTATTTTTATTTAAATGGAAGAACCTCAAATACCATCACATGACACCTCAATTCAAACTGAGCTACAAAATTTTAATCCATAGTACCACTTGACAACAAAAACTATAGAAGCATCTTCTTCCTACGAACACTTCAGGTCAGCCTCATAAGATGTAACAGCACTGAAAATATGGAGAGACCGCAAGCAAAACAAAAGCATTTCTTCATGATCTGCAGCACCTTAATGATGTCTGGTAGGCAGTATTGTCTTGGTATAGTCTGAGGTTCGCTGCTTAATAGAGCAAATATTCCTCCCCTCCTCATCCACAGAATGTTTCTACAGTCCGCTGTCTGTTGTACCATGTAAGATGCCTCTTTACAATGATATGTAGAAGAGGAGAAAAAAACTGGATGGACAGCATTGAGGAAAAAAAATAAGTGGACCGCAAGCCATCTTTCAAACACTGTTCTTAAAATGAGTTGTAAATGATGAGACTTTTTCTTAAAAAAGACAAATCGAGGGAAGGTTACTACTAATTTCAGACTCAAAAATGGACCCTTGCAGTTTTCTGGAATATAACTGGCAGTCACGACCACAGAGTGATACCTTTTCAGGCACTGCAACGGTCTATGGAAAGCCAAGGCCAGCTGTGTTTAATACGACAACAATCATTCTTTTCATAAAAGACTATGTGAAACCAACTCAAACAAATTAAATCCTGTTTAATTTTGAAACCGCGACTGCAGTCACTCAGATTTCCTCCAATTAGTCGCAAGACAGTAAAAGTTAAAAAAAAAACTCTATTATCACAGCTTCTGGCTGCAAGTCACAACACAGCAGAGGCAAAAGCCCATCTGGATGAGAAGGCACTGAAGGAGTGTGTTTGATCCATTAAGGCATGTTCACTCAAAAACTTGATTTGCCATTCATCCAAACCAAGGAAACATCTGTGAATAATCACCAGGCTTCAGGCCACTTCCTCCACACCTATAAATCACTAAAACATAACCTGTCTGCTTAACGACACTCAGCATGGGGAAGAAATATCATCTGGAGTGAGGAGGAAGGCCCTGCTGAAACCTCCTCTCCAGCCGCAACATAACATTCAAGAAACAGAAGCAACCCCCCTTTTCCAAAGCGATGCGTCAACCCGGGTTCTAAAGGCAGGTCTATTCTCTGTTTTTAAATGGCCAGCTTCTTACGATAAAGGGCTCCGGTTCCCCTTCCCCCCCCGCCCCACTTAAAGAAAAAACCCTAAACCAACAGCCGGCGCGGCAGGTGCCCCGGCGACTCACTCTGTGAAGGTGGAGGCACGCTGTTCTGTTTCGCAGTGGGAACTGCAGGCTCTGGGCCCGACGGCCTCTGTGGCACTTGTGAAGGGGTCTTCTGGGAAACCCTCTCCTGCACGGGAGCGGACAGCGGGGTCACTGCGGGAACAGCCCGCTCCGTCCGGACCTGAAGAGCACAACGGCACAGCGTCATCGTCACCCGTTCATATATCCCACAGCACCATGGCTATAGTGTCAGCCTTTTTCACCAGAACTGCTCTTCCGCCAGTTTTAAATTCCAGCCCCTCACTATTTCTTTACAAACCTTTCGCTTACTTGTCTTAATACATCACACAGCATTTTTGTTTTAACCATATAAGCCTGCCGAAGTTTAACTTCCAGAAACGTGTTACTCTGGCTGGATTAAAATCTTAAAGGTGCAGAAAAAAAAAATCAAAATAAACTTTTCACCATGTCTCTTTGTTCTGAGTTATGATGTAAAACTGAAATTGGAAAGGGGCTGGAAGTTTCAGAC